GTAAGAAGATCTTTGCATTTGGCAAGCATTTTCAGTAATATTATCTATGGATAAGCCTGCTAGATGTTTCCCATCATCAAACTCTTTTTAACTGTGCTTTTAACGTTGCTTTTAATCTTGCCAAGCTAGGACTTTTCCATGTCATAACTTTGCCTCAAGTTGTGTATTATATCTTATATTTGGAAAAAATCAGGCTTGTCTGAGGGCAAGGTAATGTTTTTGGCATTTCTCTTCTTTTGGGAACTTTTACTATTCTTTACTTTAATAGCGAGGCTTGAAATTTGTCTTCTATGTACACCTCATGATTATCTGCCTCAATTCACCTTTGAGATATTATAATTTACACTGTTGGGAAACTTTCCAAAGCTCAGAAGTCGGTCCTTGCTCATTGTGCTCAGTTCCTTCCTAGGTCTTAGGAAGAGCTGGACTTTGCACATGTACTTTCCTTACAATTTTTTGGCATACTCCCTTCAACTGGTCTACTAAAGTCATGCTCATCTTGAAAAGGGTACCTCATGTGCAGTCTGGCCATGAATCTTGGTTCAAGTTTGGATACTGGGACAGAAAATAAAATTAGTGGCTGCTCACAACTACCTTGCTGATGCCCACACATGGTGGAGACAGAATATGGTGGGATCAAAAAGAGGGAGAAAAGCTGAACTGAGAAGGAAAAAAAAGAGAAATACCAATAAAACTATTCCCCAAAGAAATTCCTTCTGTGGAGTTAAAACCAGGTTGTACATAATGCACAGTAATGAGCACAATACAATAGCCAAATAATGATAGGAGTCCAACAGAAAATATTTGTGTGCATTCATGTAATGAAAGCCTGTATTGCCTGATTAAGTTTGCCCCGGCAGTTCCCATTCTGGCCTTCCTCAACCTCTGAATGCTTGGCTTTAAACCAAAGCAGTTCTTCAAGTTCTTCTAACATATAAAGTGTCATATATAAATGATGCCTTTGTTTTAAGTTTGTCACTTCACTGCTTCCTCCTTCTTCAGTTAAGAAAAACAAAAGTCATTAAAGATGATCATGAACAAAGGAAAACATATTGGCAAAAATTACTTTGTGCAAAAGCTGGAGTTGGATATTGGAATCCTGATCCGTTTTGTAGAAGCTGAAGACAAAACAATGTTTTTGACCTTAGGAACAGGACAGCTGGACTCTTCATCAAATCCTTTTGCTTTGATATGCAGAAGTACTTGCATGTTAGCTTCACAACGAATCTGACAGAGAAGCTGCTGGCTTACTCCAAGCTTTCTCCAAAACACTTGAAATGGTCATTCAGAAATGTTTATTTAGGAAGAGATCAAAAAACCCAAACCCAGACAATTCTTTTTTACAAGCCAACCATTAAGGACAATGAGAAAAAGAATAACATCTGACTGAATGGGAGCTGAAAAAGGAATAGAATTTCTGGAGCAGTAAGTTTGACCTTGCTTCAGTGCTGTCTTCATTTGCGTTTGTGCTGCTCCTTATTTTGGCCAGTGAAAACATGATCCAATCCACCTGCCCTTTCTGCATAGAAGGAAGCTGCAATGTTCATATGTTCCTATTCATTTACTTACAATTCAAAGTAAGTTTCAGGTTAATTAGTAATTAAAGACAAATTGATCTGATCTGACTGGTCAGGAACACCTTTTAGAAGAAAGTAAACTTGTGGTTGTTGAGTTTCTTTTGCTTCTTTTCCTTTTCAGTCTGTTTTGACTTTTTTTCAGAAAGAAAAGATAACAAAACAAAAACAACACACACACACAACTCCCCCCCCCCCAAAAACCCAAACCCCAAAAAACTAAAGCAGAAAAAACCCCAACAATATCTGCTTCCTGCAGTGGAGGGATTCCTGATCCACTGGAGTGTGGGCTTGTTTGGCACACCTGTGTATTGAGGGACCCTGAGACAGAGAAAAGAGGCAAGAATCCTTGAGGCAAAAAAGAAGCATCAGTACACTGCAGTGGAAGGTTGCCCTTTAAAAATGAACACACAAACACAGCAGGGGGAAGACAGAACAGAATGAAGAGAAATATGTTATTTCCTCTTTAGTGTCTGGATGTTGTTTTTCTTAATTTCATTTTGCCTGAGCACAGCATTGGCACAGAAGAATGGAGACCAGGTTTGGTGTCAGAAGATGGTTGAATAGACCTGGATATGTCACTCTGTTTCCATTTCCTCTTTCCCTCACCCTCCTTTCCCTTTCATTTTTACAAATTAAGATTCTCCTCGAGTTAAGTCTTCAGGTGCTGGTTCCACATGTGTACATGTGTTCACCTGCACGTGCACATTTTTTTGTCTTCGTGTCTCTGTATTGACTCACCTAGCCTACGATTCCTCCTGTTTCACGCTGTAGAGCTGCACAGCTACTGCTGTGATTCAGATTAGAGCTCCTTACTCTGTGAACTCACTCTTCCAGAAAAACTTTTGATTTTCCCTCACAGTTTTTTGTTTATTTTTTCTTAATCCCAATGTTAGCTTGGTTTTTTGTAGCTCTTAGTTTGTTGTCCATTAGCAATCTGTTAAACTGTCTCTTAAGTGCTGTGTCTTCAGGAAGGCTTGTATTTGAAGGATTCCCCACTTGAAGAGAGGCCACATCACAAACAGATGGATACTTTATATGTCCCAGTGAGCTAGAAAAACCCCATAGCCCTTATCTCATCAGCTCCCAAACCAAAAAAAGCACAAGGGTTCATTTTTGCTACCTGAGAAGCATATGGGAACAGTAGCTGAAGTGAGACCTTGAACTGTGCTTGAATACATCCATTGGAGGTAGAACAACAGCTTTTCAGCCTTCAGGATTTCTACACCTCTACAGACCAAGAAGAGAGAGAAGTTCTTGTTGAAGAAGGTAGAAATCTAAGAAAAGCCTCTGTCTGAGAGGAATGATCTGCCTATGTCCAGCAAAGTTGAACACTTAGTACTATATTATAGTAGCAAGACCAGGGAACTTTGATCAAGGCAACTGTCATAGAGATCATCTTTGTTGAGACTCCAACCTTCTTAGTCTCCTGCCCTGCATCAATGTGCTCTACTGTATTGTCCCCAGCATTAGGCTACCTCTGTCTTGTTTCCCAGGATAGACTCCATGGAGACAATAGGACCATGTGACTTCCATACATACTGCCACATTTCAGATGCTCTTCTGGAACACCTTTCACAATTATATGAACTACCTCCACAGTAAAGGCGTTACTCTCGTGCTTTAGTCATTCTGAGATTCTTTCATAACTAAGTGGTCTCGTGATTTGTCATCACTGTTAGCAGATTCTCTGCAAAGACAGCTGCTGGTAGGAGAGTGGGAAGTAACCAGTCAGAGAGACCAAAGTGCCTAAGTATATGCTGTCTCTCCTCTGCCCTTTGACCCTAGAGTTTCTCAGAGCCCTAGAATGTGAATTATTCAATGGCGTCATGCTTTATGCTCTAGAGATGAGGCCCAGAAATCCCAGGAAAACATGTACTGTGTAGAGATCAGTCGTCCAGAAATCTCTACACTAGCAAAATGTGAACCTGAATGGAACATCTTAGGTACTCAAGTAATCACTACAGGAGAAGCTCCTTTTTTCTCTTGAAATAAAGTTAGTTCTGCTGTATTTTAATTTTCTGTTGTAAAATCTTGTCAGAGAATGCAGGGCAAAATATTGAGGTGTTCAGACAAAAGTTTTTAGCAGGTTTTTCTAGGTGACTAAGTGTTGCTGACAAGACAAATTTCGAGTTCCTTTTTAAATACTTGTATTCAGACAGTTCTGCTTGTACTGTCTGCTGCAAGTGTGTGTTGCTGGCAAGGGTCCATCAAACATGAAGCAGTTACTCACTTGGAAGTGAAGCTTGACTGTGGATGATCCTTCAGAATTTAGTGATTCACAGCTATTGCATATCTTTTGCATGAAGTGTCAATAGTCTTTCTTGTCACCGCTTTAATCTTGTTGGCCTTTGGAGCCCAGAAGTTTTCTAGAAAATCTGGCTTAATAACGCCATAATTTGTGCAGGAATACTTTGACTTAAAAACCCCTATGGAATGTTGATATGGTTTGAAGCTGGTTCACTGCCAAGTCTCCAAACCTTGCCACAAAAACACCCCCCGCCTCCTGAACCAAGGTAGAAGAGGGAAAAAAAACCACAAGAGAACCAAAACGAGAGAGAGACAGCTAAAGCAATATATATAAATATATTTACACTTATGTTACAGTTATATATACAATTTCGAAAGGAAAAGGGAAAGGGAAAGGGGAAGGGAAAAAAGGAACAAAAACAAAATAAAATATACACAATCAATAGCCCAAGGTGTAGCAACTAAAAGAATTAGCAAAAGAATATCTTACTACTCTCCTTGGGACAACAGCAAGTCGCGTTGGAACGATCGCCGGCAACCCCTGTCTCCCAAGGTCGGCAAGGCCTTACCAGGCCTCGCTCCCCAACACGACAGACTCAACACAGGGAAACCCACGCCTCTGAAGCCACCAGAAGGAAAGAGGGGCGAAGGCCTTTCCTCCTTTCTTCTTATACCCAGGTTTACATAAAAATCGTAGGGAATACCCAGTAAATCTGGGCACTTCCTTGGTTACAAACTGGTCACCAAGGAAGGTCTAGACTAAACTACCACAAATGTAAATTTGTTTCAACATGGAAGCAGAAAATGAGATGCAGGAATACTCAATATCTAGAAACACAACTATATTTTAACATGCATTTTCATGGTTTTTTTTTTAAAAGCAAAGTGCACAACAGGGCTTTTCTGCAAACTGGTTACAGAAACACAGACAAATTCATTCACTGTGCAGGATATATCTTTTTAATAGACCTAAACCCAACGGTTTTGGCTCTTGTTTGAGGCTGTAGTCAAATACACTTCCAACAGAGTTTTATAAAGTATCTCTCCTTTCTAGAAGGTTGAACAGGAAATGTTGCATTGTTGTTGATATTGGCAGCCTTGCTGGCACTTTTCTGACAAAGCAGATGGCGGAAAAACAAATAGAATAAGAATGTTCTTTTTCTGTAATTCCAACAAAGATATCCATCAGAGGTGGAGAGTTTGGTCCCTACTGCTTTGGGTAAATGTGGAACTGGGAATGTGATAGAAATAGGGGTGGTTCTTCTCCTGAAAACTTCTTCTGAATAGCAAAATATAAATCCTCTGCGAACACATTCAGTGGGATTAGAGATGTAAAAGAGATCTAAACAGATATAAATTTCTATATGATTAAAGAAGATCTGCAATAGCAAGGATACGGAATATTCAGGGGAACCATTGAGTCTGAAGGTGTTGGAAAGTTTGGAAAAAATGATGTACTTTTTTTTATTCCATGAAAACATGCAAAGTAAGTTGGAAGGGACCCTAATGGGTCATCTAGCAAAACTTAATTCTGGAGTAGCACTACTCATGGTGTTCCCATGAGATGTTTGCTTGACTTTGTGTCTGGGAAAATTTCACACATTTTCTGGGCAATTTACTATGGTGTTTTATTAAGTTCCTCTTTAAAAGATTGGGAAAGGTTTAAAATTTGTTTTGTCTCTATTTCAAAAGTACTAAGAAATTATGTTCTTGTCGAGCTATCTTATGCTTGACTTGTTCTAAATCAAATCCTACATGCCACACTGGAAAGGCAGTAACAACAAAGGGTTAAAATCTGTCACGGGAGAAGTGTTTGTTAGATATTTACAAGTTAAGTATAAGCTAACAAGTTTATACTTGGCTCCCTTTATAGAAATAGGCACCTCTGAAGGATAATTAATCTTTCCTTTTCAGCCACTCAACCTTTGGGAGGTGGAAACTCGTGATTTCCTACAGTTATTTCCTTGAATAAAACCCTACCTCCACTTTCATCTTTTTGATGCTAGTTTTCCAGGAGTATGGATGTAATAAAGTGTGAGATGTTTGTTTGTGGAACGGGGAATTTTAAACACAAAAAAATGAATTAATGGAAGTTTAAGGAAAGCAAGTTTCAAATTCAAGAGTATTTGCTATTCAGAACAAGTGCCTTAAGCTGTCAGGGAGCCAGAATGTTATAACATAATCTTTATGTTCCATCATAATGCAGTTTGATTTCAGATATAAAACATGCTCTATAAATTCTGTCTGAATAATACCAAAACCAGTACAGTTTTCTGGCAAATTGTCTCAGATAAGGGATTTGTTTGAGAACACTGCGAGCTCCTCATGAAAGGAGACTACATTTTCTTTTAGGAGCTACTTCCTTTGCCCGCAGCAAATTGTCCAAGACAATTTGTGGACATTTAATACTTAGATGAAAGAAAAATAAAACAGTCTGAAATATTTTTCTTTGAATTCTCTGTACATATATATAAAATACATACTGTGTTTTAGATCCTGATTATCGTCTTTTTCCTTTTTTGTGGCTGAGTATATATCCTTCTGTTTTCAATAAGACCAGTCTATAATGTGACAATGTTGTGCAGATTCACCCATTTCATACCTTGATTTTCACATAGGAGGTTTCTTCTCTTGTGTTTATATTCCTCCTATCGCAGTGTAAAATGCCTAAAAAGAGAAAGCAGTTACTGAGATGGCCATCCTTCAGGTTCCTACTAAGGTTTTCTGTGCTACCTCAAATATTTCATGAGTATTTTTTTGCAAAATTGATTTTACCAAATCAAGCCTAACACTCTAAGAGGTCTACAGTGATTTGATTAGCGTCTTAAAATCCTGTCTATAGAGAGGACCTGTTTTAAAACAATTATGGGTTGTTATTTGGAGTTTCCTCAGTGCAGATTTGAGTTCATTAGAACATTTTTATTGCACATGAGTAAACTTATTCTCAAATGCTACCAGCCGTACAAATCTAGAGGTCAAAGTTGTAAGCTATTTCACTTTCCAGGTATATGTTTAGCTTCACTTACTGAGGCTAATATTATATAATTTGATTATAACTATGGCAGTTTTATTTCTAGTAGAGCTCCAATCTTTATGTGCAGTCAATAATGTAAAATCATATGTATTTCAAATTTTGCTTCTGTCTTAGCTATTTTTTACCACCTACTTGTCTTATTACTTTCCATATTTCTTCAATCTCAAATTTAATACTATGATTTTTTTATTCACAGCATTAAATGATGATAACTAAAATAACTCATTTATTTAAATCATTCAAGATTTGATAATGTTTTCTTACATATTTCAAGCTTGTCTTGCATATACCAATTTTTCCTTACCTAGGAAGATGCTTCCCATGTGGTGGTAGTATATTTTTTCTAACAGAGGGAAAAAAGAATTTAATAATACTGAGAAGAAAATTGCATAAACAAAGAAGAAAAGTAAAACATTTCACTAGTCTTTTCTCTGAATTTTCAATTATTTCTGCTATATTTTATAATTTCTGGTATCATGATAATATGTCAAGTCTGCTCTTTGTTAAACTCTTGTGGCACAAGATGCTTTGAAAAAGTGGAGGTTGTTAATATTAGTGACAGAAAACAATTTTCAAGATGTAGCAGATTATACCTGTCAGAATAGGTTGGGATAGGGGAGACAGAATGGCACAGAGTATTTCTTACTAGTTTTACAATTTTAGTCAATAACATTTAGAGAATAAAAATATTTTTCATGGCCCCTTGGCTCTACAGATGTTTAAAGACAAAGTGTAGCTGAAAATATTTGTCAAATAATGTTCAGGAAATTATGTTTGCTAGTAGTTTTTCCAGATAGATAAAGAAAACAAAAAAATTCTTGGGAAAATTATCTGTTGTGAATATGCTGAGTTTTGATGAAAAAAAATATTCCAAGATTAAAATGGAGTGCCTTTTACTGAGACTGAATTTAGCCTGATTTTAGGTGCCATGTTTACCTTATCTAATTATGTTTTGACTATGTGCAATGTTAATTCATTGTTTTTTATACTTACAAGTCATGTTTTATCTCTGGTAATCTGGAACTAACATATTCCTTGAGAATTCCTAAACTATAAGATATTTTCTCTAATGAAAGCTCTGGTATGAAAAATATTTAGCCTTAGCTGCTACCACACACCAGCAAAGTACCAGGAATAGACTGGAATTAAGCTATTTTGCAATGCCTGTGTGTTAACCCTGTTTGCTTGCTAAGCTGCAGCCACGCATATGTGGGATGTCTTTTTCTTAAAGAACCAGTCCCAACACTCCCTCTGGCTGCAGTCTTCCTCAAACTAATGAGCACCGTGGTGTGGAAGCAAATTTCAATGTGACTTCTCCTAAGAAAAGCCAAAGAGAGAAAGGTGCTTGTGGGTTCCCATAGCTCTTTCACACACATTGAGGAATAATGATACTATAGTGTATAATGTTTTGGAATTATAAACTCTAATGTATTCATATAATTTATGTGTAATAACTTCTTCTTGTATAAAACTCCCAGTTCCTTTGCTCTTTTATGTTTTAAGCAAATGTGATTGATGGTGCTAATTATTTTGGAAGATAGAGCAGATGATAGTGGATTTGAGTATCCATGACAGAGTAGCTGAATAACTGCAGAATCCAGATAATTGATCTCAAGTATTTGGATAAAGTGTTAGTGTGTGGAGCCTGAGCCTTTTATTCACATCACATACTAGAGTTCCGCTTTACAGAAAGCTGCCAATACTCCCCAGGTAGCTTTGCAATCATTTGAATCTAATCATATCAACTTCCTGTCAAATAAGGATTGTAACTGGAATCCTGGCTAGCATCTTACTCTCTGCTATAATTGTAAACTCTCTATTAATACAAAGAATTAGTGAGTGTAAATACAGCAGTAGAAATTCTAGCCAAAACTCTGGAGTTGCCGGCTGGGTAGTTTCGATGTGCTCAGCAAGGACAGTTTGTGCATAGTTGTCTCCTACGCGGATAGCTGTTTTATCTCATCTTGGCAGCAAAATGATTCAGAGGGCAGTGCTGAGTTAATCTGCCAGGCCCAGGAGACCGAGTTTGGTGGAGTTTTGAAGCTTAGTTTTGAAGGCTATTAATTTATTCCTTACTGGTAGAGATTTCTGCTTTTTTTTCTTCTTTTTTTTTTTTTACACAGTGACTATAAAGCCAATCAGTATGAGCTGATGGTCATGTTTTGAAGTGACAGTTTTCTCTCATCTGTTTTTCTGACCCTTGTGGAGACACCCCAGGATGCATTTGCTCCTCCAAAGGAAGCCGCTGCCTGTTGCCTCACTTCAAGACAGCAGACAGCTGCAGCTGGCTCATCACTCTGTAGGCAACTTTTACATTGTGTCAGATCTGCCTTTACATGGGGAGAATACTTGAATCGCAGGAGTATGTCCCAACATTTTAAGATACTGGTGTTTGTGATATGAAATACTAACTAGACATATTATTTTAAACCCATGAGTGTAATGACATATTTTCCGCTCACTCTCACATAGTTCTGATTTTCAGTACCAGCTATGAATTTGACCATGTGTGAAAAAACTCTGTGACATTTTGGTAGACAGCGTTTTTACTTTCTTAATACGTATAGAGACTTGCAGTAAATGATGGATAGGGTACAGACAGTAAGACTCTAATGGATAGTGCATAAAGATTAGGAGTCAGATGTGCCTGTAGGTTTGAAAAGATATGTTTAGTGCAGCCCACAGAGCCCTGACACCAACATCGTGGCATGCTGCCCAGAGAGTGAAATCTAGTCCAACAGTAAATCACCAAAATTTGTTCTATTTGACATTGTGTTAAAGCAACAGTCTGCAAAAGCTAGGACCACCAACTATGTTGTTTCTGCTGCATATCTGCTGTAACCAAATCACTGCTGCTTTTTATAAGCTAAATGTTACTAAGATGACCGAGAGCACTATTTAGTAAGTACAGGCCTGTACTGTTCATCACCCAACAATCTGTGCTTAATTTTCAGTACAACCTTATCTAGTTTCCTTGGGGAATGTTTTGACATATTGAAACCATATTTTGTTGCTTTTCACATCTTCACAGCCCTTCAACTCTTGCTATGAAATTTCTATACATCATTTCCGTATATAAAAAAACCTCACCCAAACCTTTAGAAAAAGCATCATTTCAGCTTGCCCTAAACAAAAGGATTACAATGTAAAGAACATCTAATTATATTGCAAAAGTTTTCCATTGTTGGAGCCTATGTGCTGTTGGACCAGACTTTCCTACTTTTAGTCATCTTAAGAAATATGCTTTTATACAGCTTGTAACATTTCAAACTCTTTTTGGTTTGTTTTCTTAGTGTGAAAAAGAGGACAAGATGGCAGACTTTGAAGAATTCCAGTGACTTTCTAAAGAGTGTTAAGCATATAGCCAAATTTTTTGGGTGGGGCAGGAACAGTAATACTTTGCCTAGAAAACACTGTGCTGCTTAAAACTACAATCAGCAATAGTATCAGTTTAGGAAACCAGCTACCCATCACATTTCTCCATGTTTCTTTCCATACATTGTAAAGATACTGGAAATATAAAATTACAGAATCATAGAATATGCTGAGTTGGAAGGCACCCACAAAGAACATTGAGTTCAACTCCTGGCCCTGTACATAACCGTCCCCAAGAGTCACATCATGTGCCTGGGAGTATCATCCAAATGCTTCTTGAAATCTGTCAGGCTTGGTGCTGTGACCACTTCCCTGAGGAGCCTGTTCCAGTGCCTGCCCACCCCCTGGGTGAAAAAACTTTTTCTAACCTATAACCTAAACTTCCCCTGGCACAACTTCAGGTGACTGACTATTCACCTTTGGATGGATAAGAGCCACATTATTACCTGAATAAAAAAGTTACCAAACCCCTCTTCTTCTTTGATGATATAATCATGTTTTTGAACAAGAGGAGTGGTCATCATAGCCTTACAGATCCCAGAGGACAGACAGATGCATTACAGGAGAGGTATTTTGACTGATAAGTTAGGTCTGTGGTAAACAGCAAGTAGACAAATGATCTGGAAATAGTGTTATATGGTATCATCCATTAACATCAACTTAAAGTTAAGTGGTTTTTTTATAGTGCAATATTGAATTCTTCCTTCTTTTTAAAACAATAACAAAACCCCAAAACTAAATAAAAAAAAAAAAATAAAGTAATTGATTTCTGTAGTAGATTTCTATTTTAAAAGACACCCAGAGCAGTCACACAAGCACAGACAGCACTAAAGTCCTCATCCTGCTCCACTCTTTTGCAGACCATAATGGAGCTCCATTAGTGAAAACACATATACATATTCATATATGTGTGTGTGTATACAGCTCCTCCAAGCTGCAGTCTGATCCTGGGTGCTGCACTCATCATCCATACACATATATGTACACCTAATAGACACCCTTCATCCACGAAAAGAGCTAGAAAGGAATTTTATAAGAAGATGGGAGAGACTGTGCTGACCTGGCATAGACCATGACCAGACAAATGTATCAATTGGTAGCTGTTTACATACATCTAGCCCTTTTTCATCCCCTTTCTCTTCTGTTTTCCTACACTTGTTCCTTCCCAAATCATCTAGATCCCTCCCTTTCTGCAGCTTTAGGTCCTCCTCTGGTGAGATAACTTGATGGATCCTGCAATGGGCCTGACAGGGTATTAGTTAGGCTTCCTGTTCCCCCCCCCCTTCATCTATCTGTACTCCTTTCTGGGGATGCAAACAAGCTTTTTATCACATAAGCTAACATATCAATTGATGGTGTGCTAGAGGTCCAAAAATTATGAAATTTCAAGAAAAAATTGTGTAGCATTGCAACACAGAAATAATGCCTCTTTGTGAAACATTCATAAGAGACCACTGTCTTACTGGGATGACAAATGAGTCGAGACTAGAAATGTTGGCTACATTCTCAATGCACATCAGCAGGTGTGGGCAAACCTGCGTGTGTGGTAATAAAAGGTGACTTGTCACAGTGTTTGCCAGTAGGTCTCTCAGGTTCTGAGAATTGTTCCAGCTTAGGAAATGAATCTGAACAATTTGGGCTGTCTGCACTCTGCCTTCCCTGCAGCCACAGAATGGAGTACTGTTATATTTTCAGACTTTCAGATCTCTGCTGGATATCCCCTTTACTGGCGGCCCTGGTTCCTATTCAGTCTGAGACTCTCCTGGATGGGCCACGTTCTCCAAGAGTTGGTATGTTTTCCCTAAAAGTGGTCCAGATTGTTGGGTTGATAGGAATGTAATAGGTCAGTGCTTAAGGCTCTCAGTAATCACAGCAGGTTTTGCACACCTGTACCTGACCACAGGAGAGTATTTTGAGAAAGCCAGCAATACAGGGTTGGATTCTGCAGAGATTTGCTACTTCCCAGGCAGTAACCACTGAAACATTGAAGAGATGGAGTTAATTGGTGAAGACTCTGGGATGAAGATGGTAACCAAAGAAGTGAAGGTCCAATTGTTTTGGGAAGCCTGAGCTTTAATAAGCTCATCTTGTTAGCTTTTAACATCACTGAAAAGTGAAGGACTCCTGTTTCTATCTAGCAGCTTGCTGTACCATACCTCTGAAATATGTGTCTCCCTTAAAAAGTAAAACCAGAATATATTAAATATTTTTGACATTGCAGACCATGTATTTCAATGTCATCCATGCTACTGGAGGGCACCAATGTAATTTTTGCTCCTGGAACAACTATTCTTTCATTCACTTGAAAGGGAGCTTTTATGAGATTTTTTCACATACTTCATACTAATTTTTCTCAAAGGACATAAATCATTCAAAGATAATTCCAGATAAATCATTCAAAGAACTATGGTTGTAGGCTACTGTTGTCTCTTCCTGGAACAGTGTTGCTACAACACATCATGCAGACCCTAAGGATATTTTCATGTACTCACTGTATGCAAAGACCTTTATTTAGCCTTTAGAAAGCCACTTGCACAATTCTGCAACCAAGATCTGAATATATATGTCTCAATAGCTTTTATTTGCACAAAGCATGTGTGTATACAGAACAGGTTTTGTAGCAAAATAAGTCAATAGAAAATATTTGCAGATATCTCTCAAACTAGCAAAAGTTATCACTGGAAATCGGCACCCACTTTTTAATGAGATCCATTTATTTGTCAGAGCTGCTAGTAAAATGTCACAAAAATATCTGTGAGATTGCTCAGTTGACTTGGCAACTCATTTGAGCTGGTTAGAGGGGAAATTTTAGCTACCACCAAGTGTGATGCAACATGAACACTTTTAGGGTTCTAATCCTTGTGCTTGTTTGCTTAGTGAAAAAGTTTCTACCAGCTGGGATGACTGCTCTTTCAGTGCCTAAATCAAACATACCTAAAGGCCTCAAGATGAGAAAAATAAATATTTGAAAAAAACCCTGTGTGTTTGCAAGGTTCGCCTTATCCTGGTTCCTCTCTCACACTTTCATTTTCCCCTTCAGAAACTTAAAAGGAATAGAGAGAGATCCTGGACATCTAAAACCAACACTAAAGAGGCTAGTAGGTAGGGCTTGTGTGTTGTGGGAGGAGATTATAAGCAAGAACAGGGTAGCCTTTCAAGGGTGTTTCAACCTCTATACATGTTTGACTGCTTTATGCTCATCCTGTTTGGTACAAAGAGCCAAAATTAAAGTAAACCAGAAGGGCAAAAATTTGCAGTTTGCTGCATTGAATAAAAAGGTTTAACAAACACTGTCTATTTATTCCTTGCTTGGAGAAAAAGGCTGGTCTTTTATAAAATGTCTTAAATTCTATTTTCACTGAAAGCAAGAATAGTAAAACTCAACAACCTTTGTCTCACAATGTTTAGTTAATTGTTAGGAGTGTTTATATGCAGTAAAAAATGCAGAGATACTTGCAATCTTGCATTTTTTGCTGCTATTGTTAATTTGACAGCATTGTTATTGAAACATAGATGCAGACGGGATCTATTTGGGTCATTGGGTCTGACCCGCTGCTCTTGCAGCCAATGTCAGTATACACGTATAATCCCCTCCATAAAAACTGAAGAAAATCGAAGTAGCTGGGAGTAGTCAGACTAAAAACCTATCCAAAGTTTTTCTTTAGAATTTTAATGCTGTAATTGTTACAGACCTTTATCTAATTTGCAAGTTAATTTTTTCTTTATCTTTTCTTACTAGATAGTAATGTATTAATATTTACTGTGAAAGGATTAAATTAACAGAGGGATATTGTAACAATTTGTGAATCCAGTTAAATTCTCCAGAGCAGAGCATACTGTGCCAATACAAATATTTGCATGGTACTAAAAATTAATGTATGTGGAAGAACATAAATCAAGTAATTCACTGTGAATTTTAAAACTTCCACATGACTTTCACATCTCGCTCAAGGAATGTAAAAAATACATTGGTAGTAATCTTTGAAAGTGCAACCAGACACATTGTTCAAGTTCTATAGGTTATATTTTAAAAACCATAGTGATAGAAATTACTATTTTTTTGCTATTTTCATTCATGAAAAGCCAGTGTAAATTATTATTTTTATAGAGGCTTGGAAATTAACTGTAAATAGTTTTGAAAGATTGGAAATATATAAACATGCATATATGAAAGCCTACTCACCCTGTGATGTAGCAATGGCCAAGTCCTGCACATACTGTGCCTCTTTCACAAACCATGCGGGCACAGTAGGACAGGGAATTTCTCATCTGTGAGGGTAGGCACTTCTGCAGGCTTGTAGGGAAGATATCTATCTTGATTTCTGAAAGCAATATGGTAGTCCCGAAATACAGGCTAGACTTTCTCTGAGGGGTTCCTTAACCTTTTTTTTCCCTAACTAAGGGAAAGTGAGTCATGGGATTTGCTGGAGTTTATCCATCGCACTTTGGCTCTCACGTTGTGCAGGGGCAATTGATACCTTACCTTGCGCACTGATGTATCTACCAAGACAACAAAAATATTGCAGAAGATTGATTTCTCTCCTAGAGTCTCTTTGCAACTGACTGACTGTCAGAAAGGGAGATGTGGGACAGATTTGAACTGATTTTTCAACATTTGGAAAGCAGGCTATGGAGTGATGACACACTTCACTTTTGGATAAAGAAACAAATGTGATACATATTTTAAAAGTGGAGAGACTGCTCAAATAATTGACAAGTCTGACCTCTGGGACTGTCATCCACTTTAAACACTTCCCTATTTTGTAACAGCTCACATATATTTTTATGTTCATTAGGTATTCAGAGAGTGCCTTCTTTTCTGCAAGTAGCGGAGAACAGCAAAGAGCGGAGGATCCCAGACACAGAATACACTTGTGATGCAAGATGAATTCCTGAGGCAGGAGATTTGCAGGGAAGAATAATGATTATTACTCACTAAGATCACTAAGGTAATCTGTCTTGTTTTACTCTGCAAAGTACTGTAGAAGTATTTCATTGGGATTTCTTGTTTGTTCATCCTAGTTATTTCCAGGTTGGAATTAATGAAGTTCAGCAGTTTAAAGCTTTGGCTTTTCTTCACCACCACAGCTTTAATCTCACAAAATATGTTATGAAAGCCAGGCAGGTTCCTTTTCCAACTCTTTTATTATGATTATCACATAAGTCTATGGCACAATTCCCAACCTACCCTTGTTCGATGTCCCTGATCTGTATCAAGTAGCAGAGATTTAACTGTTTCTCTCCAAAGAAACTATGGTGTGTGCATCTGTAGGTGTATTTTGAGAGCCTGATTAAGAAATGGAATTCTCCTGCCTCTGAGCAAAAGGATTCTCAACTGAGTGAGTTGTGGCTAAACTTGTAAACCCAGGGAATTTGGTCTAGGGCTTTGAAGAGTGATACAGTTTCCATAAAGTTGGTGGTAGAATGCTGCAAGTTTTGTGATTGGATAACGTAAAAATTCTTTGTCAGCACAAAGGAAGACATAAGCATTTGAAAGTGAATAAGCTGATTTAAACACTTGGGTGTTTATGGATGGCCTCAAATGATTTAATACAGGAAAGTGTAATTTGAGAAAAATATAACTCCAGATGCTTGAGACACCATATTCAGTTCTGCTTCAAAATCTAGATGTCTCTGTGAGCTACTGTGATACTGAAAAGCTCAGTAATAAAGAGTTTGATTATTCATATTTCAACTGACACTAGCCTTCAGAGAAGAATAATTTTCAGCGGAAATTATCTAAAAGCTTCATAGTGTTAAAGGCAAAATAGATAAAAAAGTCTACATAAGAAAAAACAGCAGGAGAGGAAATACATGCCTTTGTAAAGGTGTTATAATGCTGTGTAAGATCCTCTTTGTACTTCACAGTTACATTTGCAGACAAGTGAAAATATTTACACTCAATGAAAGCCACAGTGTGTGCAGATAATTTCTTTCCTGTTTTTAAGAGTAACTGTCTAGAATACTTGAACATGATTTTGAGTCTCTCCATATTGTCCTCTGGTGAATAAAAGGAGAGTATTCAGCTGTAAGTCCTGGCCCTATACTGCTGAGTCTGCAATAAAAACCTCTTTGGATCAGGGGATAAGAAGAGCTACATTCTTTTGGAGTTATCACAAGTTCTGAATGACCTTGATAAACAGCACAAAGACAGAAGTGCTTCCCTATTGAGATACAAGCACTGTCCTTGCACACAGTATTGCCAAGCCCTGATTTTAATTGCATGTTTCCAGTTGCTATTTTAGTAGAGATATTAGTGAAGGATAATATTTGAAGAACTTCGGTATACATCCATTTCACTTATATATCTTGTCTGTAAATATTTAGAATTTTTAGAACCCACATTTAATCCTCTCAAAACTAGAAAGAGATAGTACTGAGTTTAACAAAAAGCAAGTTATATATCTTCTGGACTATTTACTTTTCTGAAAAAGCTTCTTGACCTTTAACTCCTGTCATCTTAGCTCTGCTTTCAATATGATATTTTATTTTTCAGCAAGTATTATATATTTTTGGTGCAGTAGTGCCTGAAAGCCTCAATCACACTCCTGTTTATGAGCACACCTCATACCTGCAGTGTGCGAACTTCTGAGGAGCATCCTGTGCTCTGAAAAGACAAGGTAACTAGGTAAAAAAAAAATCTTCTTTCAATGCTTACTGTGGAACCAGAGGACAGCCTGATGAAGTGAATTGCTCAAGTTCAAATGAGAAGGCTGTGGGAGAATTTGGATTTTTTGAGTCCCAGACTACCAGCTTAACCACAGATTTACCTTTTCTCTGAATATAGGTACTGCAAAGACATGTTTAACCTGTGAATCTTGAACTTTTGGGACTGGGTCCAGATGCAAGTTCCATGCTGGGGCTGTAGCACATCACTGGTAGTGGAACTGTGCTGATGCTGGTCTGATGAACTCTCTGAAACCCTAGCTGTGGGATGAAGGGTCTTCATAGGAACAACTTGGCTGCTAGGCTGGCATTGCTTGGACTCCTCCAAGGCTGCAATTCCCTCAGCCCAGTACTGTCCTGCACTAGAGAAGTGAGACTCTTGGCAGAGCGATTCTTATTCACTGCCTCTGGACTATCCTAATCCTTACTTGTCCAGTCTAGAGGTCCTCTGTCCTGTGTGGAGTTGGTACATAGGTCATAGGGCTAGAAGTATGTCAGTGTCTGTACTAGGCTGGATTAAATATCTGGTGTTATCTATTAAAGGAAAAACAACTTCTGCATCATTTCATATGTTCTCTGGGGGTGGTTCTTTAAACATTACAGAGAATTGCTGTATGTCCACCTCAGTTTCCTATTGCTTTGTAGGTCCACATACTGGACATTTCCCAACAGTTTACTTTCACCATGCAATGCACTTGACTTCTTGTTTATTGTTTTGTTGTATCTTCATTTCAACTTTATGGTAAGGCTCTGTCCCTCTCCCTCCTTCATACAGCTTTTCTACTGGTAGCTTTTTATTGATGTCCTGATCCTTTAGCTACTGTACCATGTGAACAAGAAAATGACATTTAGGCATGAAGTTCTACAGTCTGCAACTAACTCTTTTCATCCAGCAAACAAAACTTCCACTACTATTGTCCACCTGGGAGGGAGCCTCAAAGACATCCAGTGAGGACAGCTCTGTCTGCAGTGATGGGGATATGCAGGGCTGTGAAGGAGCAAGATTCACGACGGGAACAGTTCCAGGCATGGAGGAAGATATACAGCAATTGACAGGACTTTATTATACGGACTTTACAGGTTTTATGTGCTTATAAATACACACATTGTATATTGCCCCTATACTTACATTCCTGGGCGTGCCCAGGCAAGCCTGCTTCCCCGCTCCCTGCTTCCCCACTCCCTCCTTCCCTGCAGCCCCGCTCCCTGCTTCCCCGCTCCCCTCTCTGACTGGCCGGAGAAGCTGCACAGAGGAGACAGCCACCATTCGCCCTTTCCTTCCCCGGCTCCTCCCACGTTCCTCCTCCTTTTGCCTGTCTCCCTATCCCGATTTGTTCCCCTGTTTGTCTGTCTCATGCTCCACTCCATGTTCTGGCCCTTTCCCCACCTGAACTGATAAAAAAATCAATAAAGCATTCCATCTGCACCCCTGCCTTGTCTCCGGACCCATCCGTGCTATGTCATGGCCCCATCCCCCCTCGGACCGTGGCACAGGGCTGCAGAAATGCCTGATAACAACAACTTGCCCTGTGCACCCACTAGTGAAACTGAATCTGACAATTGCACATGTGTATATGTTGATAAATCACGATGGGAAATAGATGAAGATTCTTGTTTTGCACATTTTGTTTTCTTCCCGACCAGTATCTGCTCTTCTGTTTGCACTGCTGAGGTGCTTCAGTTTAGCTTTAGGTGATGAAAGAATCAGAGATTGCATGAAACAGCTATTCTGCTCTGAGCTCCCTGTCACTGAATGGACTGTTGTGGGGGAACCTATGTCCACAGGAAGAGTGTTTTAAGATTCCATCTGTATAGCTTAGGCCGAGCTCTGATTTAAAATTGGCTCTTAGCACAACGCAAGTCCAAAAATAGATTAAGTATATTTATTCATACTTTAGCTGAAATTAGCATGTCCAAACCATCTTTGTTGTAAAAGCATAACAAAAACTGTATTTCATTTGCTGCATACTGTTGCCCTATCTAAGTGCAATTGATTTCTGGTTTACAAAAACAAAACTAAACAAAAAAAACGAATAAGAGCCAGTATCAACACAGTTGTACTAATGCAACATGTTCATAGCAAGGAATCAATTAAAAAGTAATGTCAGAGAGAATATGCTGAAAACTTTTTTCCCTGTGAGTTTACTAGTAATTTAAGCTACAGTAAAAATAGATTAGTCTTGCTGCATTTACATTCAAGCATCTTCTAGTGAGAAATTTCTTTCATTTTTTTTTCTTTTCTTTTTTTCCTTTTTTTTTTTTTTTGCCCCTGTATTTTCCTCAGTTTGGGTTATTAAGCTTTCTGGACAGAAGCTTCAAAGTCTTCAGTCTGAAAAACATTCTATTGAAGTAACTGTTAAATCCCACTGCTTTACCACTGTAGATTCTGCAGACTCTGTAGAACTGAGATTCCAACTGCAACTGTATTCCAGTCTCACTGGAGGGAATACATATGAAGTAGGGTGGAAGGGCAGATGAAGAGAAAGACAGCTTTTGTGCTGTGTGGTTTATTGGCTTCAGAGTTTTTCAGATGACATTTAAAAAAAATAATCTTTGGTTTCAAGGTGCTTTAATTGTTTGTTTCTTAAACAGGGGAAATCTACAATATTTCTGAAAGTGGTCTGAAAATGCTGAAGAAAAGAGGGAGGGAGAAAGGGAGACTATGGCTTATCTTATAAATACACTTCAAGTTGATGTTTTAGCACATACCCAAATCTATAGGTCAATTCTAAGCCTTTAGCATTAGTATTTGAACATCTTGCTGTTTCTGAACCATAGTACTCTGAGTATTTTCATCAACTCAACTAATCTGAACTTAAAATTCTTTTTTGATCTCATAAAATCAGTTCTCAAGGAATACTAGAATGCAGAGCACAGGTGAAGACTGTGATCAAAAACTACTATTAAAGGATATGAAGATTGTTGAAATTCATGTCATGCTTTATAAAAGGTGTAAAACATAACAAAACAAACAACTCTACCACCAAGCCCGTTCTGTTTGTTTTAAATAAAGCGCCTATTTTTGAGATAGATTATAATATTGAGTGTCCTCACAAGTGTGGCTTCCTTCTAAGTTAATTTCTGTTGTTACAATATGAAGGTATGTATGTTAAATTCTGCATTTGTTTCCAGACATGAGGATTTCTTCCCCTTGGAATTACAGGGAAAGCAAAGATTGATTTTGCCCCTTAGTGGAGCCACTGTCACTGTGTGCTCTGCAGTCCATGCAGTGCAGCTGGGAAGAGCATTGCCACCCCACTCTCACATGTGTTTCACTGTGACCTCATCTGATCCTGTTTTTAGAAGGGAAAAAACTGTCTTACTTTCTGTAAATGCAACTCACTGTGTGGAGAGAGGAATTTGCCCTGCCATGGCAGTACAACAGATGCAAATAATTCACATTTTCCCGTGAAAAACTTGTTCACTACATTGTTGGACTGGATTCCACTCAAAGACAGCCATGTTGGCTTTCTGAAAGATATCAAACGTGCTATTTCTGCTAACAGTTCTGGTTGTAGAGGTTTTGAGGCAGCTATCTCGTAATCTAATTCATGTCAATTAGTTGTCAGTCCAGACAAAAGCCCTCTTATTCAGTTTGTGTAACTAGCTCCCAATAAATCTTTCTTGTGCTCTATCAGCACATGTGGTAACATTTTTCCCCCAGTCCTCCTTTTGTAGCTTTTATCAACAGCTAAGAGGTCAAGAGACCTCTTTCTCACTCTGTCTTTATTTTTTGTTTTCTTACCCATGAGAGTAATGTAATAAAGAGTAAATGAGTGAAGCTGAGTAATTACACACATCTCTCTTTTAACTAATATTTAAGGAAGCTTTTTTGTCAGTACGAGCCTATACCACTTAACTCTCTATTCAGGAAAACGGATCAAAGTGAAGATGACATGTTTCTCCATGGTATTAAGCTAATGGGTGAAGAAGTTTGCAGGGACACAAAAATAAAGAAAAAAAGAATGGGAACTTAATTTCTTAGAGCTGAATTTGCCTCATTTGGTGGTGGTGTGTGGCTTGCCTGGGGACGTTCTCATCAGTGAGTCTGGAGGTTTATTGCTGGGGGAAGCTCTGGATGCCTAGATTTTCTAACTTAGTTGGTGGCCTTTGATCATTACTGTAGCTAACACAGGACCAGGATGACCTAACTGAAAAGAGCTTTAAAATGAAACATCTTACAAAGAAGTATGAACAAGTGAAGTACACCTAACAAGCCAGTGTTGTGGGAGAGTTAAGGCAAAAGAACTTTGAAAAGTTTATTTGAGCTAGGGAAGGTTGAACCACAAACCCCCAAAAGATAGTCTCACTTCACTGCTACTTTTGCCTTTTTTGGCACGTGTGGAGTCTGTTCTCACATATGAACTTTGAGCCTGGATGGTTTTGGTCAAGTCCTGGCCTCTACTAGAAAGAAATATGTCACAGGTAGTGAAAAACAGGAATGATTCACCTGCCAACCAGCCTCCGAAGTCCACACAACATGTAGTCATACAAAAGCCTCACATGAGCCACTGAAGAACAGTTGCCAAGAGCTACTTTGGTTGCACTTTACACTGGTAATTCCTGTGAACTGTAACGGCTCTGAGTGAGGATCTGGGGATGATCTGAAAGAGATCAGGCCACTCATTCCTGTCGTCCTAGCTGCAGATAAAAATCAGATATGAATCAATATATCCTGAAGGTGAAGAGTTGTTTAAGTAATATTAAGAGGTTGTTACTGTGATGTTATTGAGATGCCCTCAGATATGGAACGATGTTTCATATGGATGTTGAATGCAGATAAAATTAATTTTACAAATACCATCTGAGTGACTAACTCATGAGAAAACTTTAGATTCAGATTGACGCATGTTGACGTAGCAGAAAAGACAGAAGTGTCAGCAGGGTAACACTATCTAAAAGGTTGCTTAGCAAAGAAAATAAACCATCATGTATGCACTCTAAGGGCAGGACAAGTACTAATAGTTACTTATTTGGCTAAGTTTTCAACGGCTGAATCAGCTGTGTAACCTGATAGTCTGAAGACAGCAAAAATTTCTTCTTATGTTTAAAACTTCCCGTTGATTTACAGGACAGTTTTCTAAGAGAAATAATCACATTAAACTCAATGTAAATGTCATGGTATAACATCTAAGTCCACAGTAATCTTAAATAATGCTTTAAACTAGTCTATTTCCATTCTGTATAGCTTTGAAGATGTAATTTATTTTCTCAGTTCTGACATGTATAAAATAATTATAATATTTCTCTCCTCTATTGGGAGTAATTAGCAGACTGCTCTATAAAGCATAACCCGTGCACAGCTCTACTTGTATAATCACAGTTATCTTGTCATCAGAATAAACAAACCACTTGTGTATATGTTTATTGGTGAGAAATTTGTACAACTGTTGATAACAGCACTTTCTGTTATTCTGCCATCTGCATTTTAAAAATGGAATGGTAGTTTAATTCAGCAGTAGGAGACAGATATGGACATATGCGTATATATGTTCTTAACTTTAGATAACTAGGTAAGGACTTTCCAGCTAAACGTTAACTGTGTGGCAATAGGGAAGTATCAGTGGAGGGACATGGAACAGATTGCTCACAGGCCAATTTGGTCAGCAATATGTTGGTTTATTAAAAGAAGAACACTCATTATATACTGCTACTACACCCAGACGCGTGATTCTTCACACAGCATTGGATACATAAGAGAAACATACTTTGTTGTCCACTGCTAATTGGACCACAACAGGTGTCCATATGAGCTGAGGGCACACATTCACCCTCTTGAAACTCCACCTTAACCTTGGCAGGGAGCCTTCTTTGTCCTAACTTCAAAGGCTGAAGCCATATTAGCTATGCAGTTCTTTTACTGTCTGCACCCAGCCATGCCAAGGCAAGGCCTACAGAAATGCAAAGGAAATTGTTCAGACACAATCTCTATTCTCCCAACAGGGAAGGTACACTGTTGGCAAAGTTAAAAACACCAAATATATGATATTCTTTTGTCAATCTGTTCGTGGAGATTGAAAGGATATATGAATTATAAAAATTATTTATTTCAGTAGACCAGTGGAAAAGTCTATTTATGCCAAACTCAGAAGAAAATGGCGTATTATTTCATA